CGGCGGGAGGAAAAATGCTGGCAGCGCCTTGCAAAAAGAGTCGGGAGCAGTTGTTGGTAAGCGCGAAAAACTGCGCATGCCTGAAAAGGGCGCGAAGCAACAGAAACCCCGCCTCCTGCGCTCGCCAGCTTGGCTCTGCTCTAGGAAGGAGGCATTGGCAAACCACTTCCGAAACACCTTGCCCTGAAAACTGCAAAAGGACTAGTCCAAGCAGTCACTGCAGAGTCGGTAACGACTGAGTGCAGATAAACAAAAAACAAAAAACAAAAAAACACAACATTTAACATTACCAATGTTTCTGTGGAAAACGTTACCAAATGTTTTTGGGGAACAATATTTCTGTTTTATTAGTGACTTGTTGAAGTTATTTGAAATAAATAAGTATTGGTAATGAAATATAAATCAAATTGATACTTGCATCAATACACAAGCTCATCATTTTAGGAAAGAACAATAAGAGCTATCTGGAACTTACATATTCAAAAATATTAATTGGCATGTATAGAAAATTTATAAGAAGCTAAGAGCACTCATGCTCAATAGATGACCAGGAGAAATGAAGAAGCAGGACAACAGCACTCTCCCACTTGTGTTTCCCAACAAATGATAAACAGAAGCATTCTGGAAGTAATATATGCCATCTTGACTAGTAGACATTGATAGCCTATACCTTCATAAATGAATCTGCCTTTTAATTAAAAGTTAAGAACTCTAAAATGATTTTAAAAAGAACAATATTTTTCTTGTGGGAAAATAGATTCCAACTCTATTTTGTCTAATAGAGACAATCCTGGAAATGTAATCTTTCAAAAGGAGGTCAGTATCTGAACAGGTGTAGTATTGAATATAATTACCATTAAAGATTACCATCATGTTTGTCATAGAGAATAAAGGCCTATTGGAATCATGTGATGAGAAATGTGCCCTTTTGCACATTTAAAACAGTAATGGTGGGGGCACTCCTATGAGTGCAAAAAAATTAATAAATGACAACCATGATGTTTATAATTTTAAAAAGCTTCTTAAAATGCTTCACATTCCATTCATACAAGTTTGCTTCATTTTGGGTTATATTTACTGGTTATCACTGCTATGTGGCAAAGTATAGAGTAAGAACTTCGCTAGAATGGTGCCAAATGATTCTGAGCCACTAATTATGTTACGTGCATATTAGCAAAGTCACAGATTTATATCTGCACAGATTACTACAGCCATTTAAGCAAGCCTAATTAAATAAAGTAATCGTCATCTGGTAAAAATAATATAATTTTGCCCCTACTTAGCAATAATTAATCAGCATTATTGCCAAATATGGGATCAATTTAAGTCTTCCCAGTCTAATCAAGGAAGCTAATCAAGGAAATAAGCTGATTCATCCCTTGCCCACATTACAGGTAGCAAAGACCTGTATGTGGTAGTTGAATCCAGCAAGAGCCATTAATCTTCCTTGCCCTCACTTAAGGACAAACACACCTGGGTCACACAAGATGCTTTTTATGGCTTACCTTGTCAGCCATTAAACCAATCACAACCTTCTACTCTTGTATCTAGCAGCACATATTCATGCTAACAATGCAGAATCTATGCCTAATTTCTCCTGTCCTGCTTGGTATCACCAGGAGTGTACTTGGTCTTGTTTCCTTACAGACTTGCATACCATCACATAGTTGCCTGGATTTTGAGGTTTCCACATCACGTGGGGGTGGTCTGAATCACAAATTGCAAACTGACAATTGCAAACTCACAGACTGACTCACAGTTTGGGGGTTAAATTGCTGTTCTCTTGGCCCACTACTGACTGGGTTAGTAGATTCATAAAACATGCTAGACTATAAAACTGTCTGGAATAAGCATATTGTGTTAACCAGCCATGACAGAAATGTGGGTAAAGGTCTTTCCTCAAAGCCTTACCCCTGGCACCACCTGGCCCACCAGAAAATGGTAGATTAAATATGGCTTTCAAACCAGATTTAATTCTTCAGGTTGCTCTAATAAGGCAGAGGGGAGAAGGGAAGAGAGAAACAAGACAGCACAAATTCTTCCTTGATTTTCTCTTCTGCCCTACCAATCTTCATTACTTATTCACCAAACAAGAGAAGATTCACCTTAGCCTCCAGTTTTAATGATTCTCTGCCTTGCCTTGCCTTAACTAACTGCTATAAAAACCATTTTAAAAAGTGCTCATATTGGTAAAAGATTAGCTCTTTTTAATATGAAATAAATTCTATTAGTAATAGATTACTAATCCATTTATTAGTAATATATTCAGTTATTAGTAATAAATTAAAATAAGTAGCTACAGTGTCGCTGTCACCAAGCTCTATATTTTTCATCTCTAGAGCCTCAATACTGAGAGAACAATAATCATAACATACCTTTTCGTAATTGGTGAAGCCTCCCATGACTGCAGGGTCCACAATGCCATTTAGCAGCATAGACAGAGGGTTAATAGGTAGATTTGGATCATTCAAATGTTGCTGAACCATATTGTTGATTTTATCATTTGTTAACTGCATGGTTTCAATTGCATTTTCAAGTGGACTGATTTCAATCTGAGAAAACAAAGGTTTAACAAAAATGATTATAAGAGCTGAAATGGTTTAAATTCAAATATTAACTGAAAACAGTAGATTTCATTCCTGAAAAATTATTAATGTAGTTTTAAAAGACAAGATTGAGTAAATGATGCTCATGCTCATATAAATTTGATTAGACATATATAACAACTTGATAATAAGCAAAAAGGGCATTTGTTTAGATCAACCATCACACATACAGTATACAGTAAAACAGAAACTTAACAAATCAAGAGCTACATGGCAGCCCTTTGTACACTCAATGGGCAAACTCTATCACCTTTTACTAATATTCATTGTGTCACAGGGCAGACTATTTTTGAAATTAAAAAGATGGAGGATGAAGAGGACTGAAAGACAATAAAAAATTCTTAATCTCTAGTTCATATTTCATGTTACAAACATTTTTCATTAAACACACAAAATATTAGGGCTGTTGCAATATTTTGAAAGATGCACCATGCACAGGAGCACAAAGAAAGTACATCAGTTTGAATCAGTAATGCAGTTGCTTCCATTTCCTACCACACATAGTTGCTTCAGAAGCTGCTCCTGACTATGCATGCAGAGACAGTCAAGGTTATTTTAATAATTTAGAGAGAGGAGCTTTTTTTCCTTTCCAATCCAATAGAGACACACCCTTTTGAAGGAATTGCATAACAATGGAAAATATGTGAGGTTAATATAGATGTGCCAAAATGCAACTTTATATCTAATTACTATAATTTTCATCAACTTTATAGAAAAACACCTCTATCTAACTATCAGTAGCTTAAGATATTTCTGAAAGGCACATAATCAAGTTCTTATAACTGTCACTTACATACAGAAACTGACTACATTCAAATTAATTAAGTTTCCAAAATATTTAAATTTTAACTAAATTATTAATGCTTCCAGCAAACAGCCTGCTTTTACTTCATCTAGTACTGAAAGATCCTTTTAGTCCAAAATGTTCTTAACAATTTTCTACCCACTACAATTTAAAGGCATATTTTTTTCTTAAGTCAGCCTTTTCAATTGTTCAACTTTTACAGTGATATGTTACAATTGGGAAAACCATGGCCTTGAGAATATATACATTTGTTATTAGTGTGATATTTCTGCACTTTTATATATATTGTCTACATCTGTCATTATCTTTCTCACAGATGTCTCTTTATTTCATGACTATAATCACCATTCCTGTGAATTTTTGAGCCTAGGAAGATGTTATTCATCTCTACCTATTGCATTGGACTTGCCTTGTCCATTGACATAATCTTAGTTTTGTTTAATATTAAACATTAGGGTGGCTTTTACACTGTCGTCTTTCATATTCAATAAGAGATTCATTATGTTTTCCTTGCTTGTAGCCATCAAAGAGGTATCATCAGCATGTCTATAAGGTTGTTGATGTTTATCCCAGCTATTTTAATTCCAATTTCTATTTCTTCTAGTCCAGGATTTCTCCCACATATAACTAGATAAGAAGAAGACAGTATACCATCTTGGTACACTAATTTCTCAAATTAGAACCATTTAGTTGCTTCATATTGTATTCTAACTGTTGCTTCTTGCTCATATTAGAATTTTTTCAATAGGCAGATAAGGTGGCATTGTGCACCCAACTTTTTAAGGGCTATGGGCAATTTGGTGTGGTCTACATAGTAAGAAGCCTTAGAATAATCAAGAGTTAAGCAGATGTCCTTTGGGAACTCTCTTGCTTTCTCCATTATCCAGATGATATTAGCAATGTGATCGCAGGTGTCTCCGCCACTTTTGAATCCAGCTTGTACATCTGACAGTTCTTGTTCCATGGATTGTTGAAGCATGGATTGCAAAACCCTGAGCATTTTCTCATTATCATGTGAGGTATCTTCAATTGTTCAGTAGCTTGAACAATTTTTAGCCCTACAGTTTTTCTGATGCTGGAATTTAAATTGATTTTTTCCAGTTCCTTAGCCTTGCTGCATTTGCCACATCTGTTTACTAACTGCAAATTAGTAATTATCATGCAAAGCTTTAAACAGTTCTGTTGGTATTTCATTTCTGCAGTTTTGTTGTTAGCAATGTTTTCTAGTCCTTCATATGTATCATCAATTTGTAGATTTTTGGGGAACAGTTGTTATGCTTATTTAATACCATTTTTTCTTTATACTTTTGTCTAGTAGATGTTTATCTTCTCTATTTTTTATTGTGCCCATCTTTGCAATAAAGATTTCTTTGATATCTGTAATTTTCTTAAACAAATCTCTTGCCCAACCCATTCAATTATATCAATTCTTTGCCTTGCCTTTAAATATAACTGCTTGTTTCTTCTTGCTCTTTTCTAGAACTCACATTTGGTTGGGCAAAATTTTTCCTCTGTCTCTGTTGTCTTTTGCTATCCGCCTTTCTTTAGCTATTTTCAACATATCAGCAAAGACAATTTGGCTTCTTTTGCTTTTTGCATTTTGAGATATTTTTGTTTCATGTTTAATGATGTAATGAATTTCAGTCTAGAGTTCTTCAGACATTTTATCAAACCTAATCCATTAAATCTATTTTTTTTAACTTTCGCTGCATTATCATACCGAATATTGCTGAGGTTGTATCTTGTCTGATTATATTATTTTTTTCTTTAGCTTCATATTGTAAGAAGGAATTTATGATCTGAGCCGCAATCAGCACCAGGACTTGCTTCTGCTGACTGAATAGAATTTTTCCATCTTTGTTGATATAGCACCAAAAAAAGATGTCATACTAATTATAGGTCCCTGGAATCTTTGTTATTAAATTTTCCTTTTACCTCTAGCCACATCAACAGTTGGATATTCTTTTGACTTAATCCAGCCACACAAAAAAGCACCAGTACTGCTTATATTGCCCTCCATATTTCCTAATAGCCTGTTGGATACTTTAAGACTTGGAGGCCTTATCTTCCAGTAACATGTTGACATTGTCTTGGTTATGAAAGCACAAGCCTTTTCACCACTACAAAATTAGGCAAATAGCCTTACATTAGAACTGTAGGTTTAGAGTTTGAAGTTGTTGTTTGGCCACAACAACTCCCTGTTTGATATGTTAAGAGAAATGGGTTGAAAATAACAAAATGAATAAGAAAGAAAAACACAATGGTTTTTACTTAGGAGATGGAAATGAAATGAAGTGGTAGCTGGTGTGGTAATGGAAGATAACTTGGATGGCAACAGTACCTAAGAAAAAGACAGAAGCAATCTCAGGGTACATTAATAGAAGTAGTTTTTAAATCACAGGAAGTAATAGTTCCAATTTATTTTGCATAGAACAGACTCCCACATTGAACATTTTGTCCAGGTCTGGGCATCTACTTTAAAAAGGAATCAAACGAAGTGGAACAAATCCAGAGAAAGACAATCAGGAGACTAGAAACTCTGTAAAGAGAGGTTGAAGGAACTTTGAGAAGAATGATGGGAAATATAATAGCTTTCTTCAAAAAGTGTCACACAGAAGATGGTCAAGACCTATTCTCCATTATTTCACAAGTCCAGGACATGATGTAATGGATTTAAGTTCCATAAAGTCAGATTTCATCTAAATGTTAGAAAAATTTCCTAACAGAGCAGTTTGACAGTGAAACCAATTACCCAGAGAGGTAGTGAGCTCCCCTTTATTGCACATATTCAAAAGGAGGCTAGCCAGCTATTGCTTGGCATGTTTTAATTTGGTTTTTTGCACAGAGCAGAGTTGCATCCAATGTTAAATAATGGCTTCAAACTCTGTTGCTATAGTTCTAATGTTAGGCTATCTGACTTGTTCAGATACAGTCTAGGCAACAGAAGATTATACATATGTTTAGATCAACATTATCAGTTATTAATATTTTTTTCTTTTTGGAGATGTAGAATATTTCATCTATATATCTCAGTACAGAGACTCCATACTTTTTCCACTGTAAAGATTCTCTACTCACCTTTTCTATTCTTTTATTTTGGCCTGCGAGCCTATCAACATGGTTGTGATCATGCTGCTATTTCACACATTCAGTGAATACATGAATCCTCTAATCCTTGTGATCTTTCCTGTCAGCTTTTACTACTGTAAATGTATGTGGAAGTTTCACTTGAGTTCTCCACTGCTTACCCCAATGTTTGCCTCAGCCAAGAGGAAAAAAAGATTTTATCAGCATTTCCTGCCCTACAAATCATGATTGAGACACTTTTCAAAACAGAACTATTTTTTTCTGGAAAACATCAGAGTAAAATTGAAAGTAATTGAATTAAATATTTACTGTACTACAACAAATCACAAACTTGTGAAACCTGTATATATTCACCAATAGGTATAATTAGAGATAGAAATACTTAATTCATCAACATGCTTTAGTGGGATTTATTTGACTTTGTTAGAGTGATTTCTGTTAATTAAATGTTATTGTTAACCTATAACTCAAAGGATAGAACTAAATCTGAAGTCATGTGTTTATTCCTTCTTAAACAATACATTTCAGAAACAAATAATTCATCATGAACCTATGTCTATGAATACCCTTATTACAAATTTAGTGATAAGCTTAAATCCTAATCAAAAGAAAGAAACCCCATTTAGAGCTTCTGCTGAATATGTTGTGACCTCAAGCTAAGTGAAAAATTGGCCTGTACATATTGGACCTGCCCCTTATTCTCCCTGACCATCACACATGCAACTGGAGGTCTGAAAGAAAGTTGTATTTTTTTGACCAAATCAAAGTTCTTTGCTTGGTATGGAATCCTGTGTTATTAGGGACCTGATTCACATAGACTGTTGCATCCAAGTGCATGCATATGTGACTACAGGTATACCTCAGATCTCCAGAGGAATAGCTGGAAATTGGGAAGGTAGGTGGGGCTGCATGAACAACTTCATCCCCTACCTAGTTTGAACACTCCATGAGTTCAACTGGAGGCCTGAACAAGGTCCTAACTATAAACGTAAATAGTCAACAGGACAAATCTGTGGTGTCTAGTATCTAATCTATTTATGTCAATCTGGATAATACATTTCCACTGCTGATTGTTTTATTTTGTGATTAATTATAATGAAAATTCAGGAGCAGTTACAAACTCCAAAATCAATATTTATTTGTGTGCTATTTTTCTTTGCAAATGTATAACTGATAAAATTAATCTGGACAGCATAATGTTCATATTGTCATATGCTTTTTTTATTCATTCTGCCACAGGACAAACACTAAGAGGTGGCTTGTTTTAGATCGGAATTAGCACAATTTCCATTTAGAAACAGAATACTAGCAATGTGCTATTTATAATAGCTGACTGCTAAGGATTATTTCTGTTCCCAATAACTTGCAATGCATATTTAGACATAATTTATTTCATCTTATTTTCTACTTTGGGCATAATATTTGTGTCAAGAATTAAGCGATTTAGAATTACAGAATTCAGGAATACATAATTGTGTTATTAGCTTTCTATCTGATAAGACAGTGAACAGCTGCTCTGGCTTTGGTAGCAGCTGTATTACACATAGGAAATAAAAAGTTATATGCTCTGTCTTGAAATATTAAGATTAGTTGAGGTGATGTATTCATGTCACCTGTGTATCATTATAATCTTTGCTTACAAAAAGCTTATGCAAAAGAAAAACGAGAAAAAAATTATGTAAAATTATGTGAGACGTGTAAAACTAATCAGTTTCATATTGACACTACTTGCTTAAAGAAAGCTTCTTTTATAACAAAGGAATTTTAATCAGATATCATATGACTAAAGTCATCAAGTAAACTATATTCCATCTATACCAGTGTAAAATTTATTGAACATATTTTATTTAGTAATTAAATATTGGTGTGTATCATATTGCCTTATACTCTGTACCATCCAGTCAGTTTCAATTTTTGCTCATTCAGTTTTCTGTGCCGAATTTAACAATATAGTCCAGTTCATTATAGAGCAGTATTTAATTTGATTTTGAAAAAATAACAGATTTTTAAATTATATCAACAAATTTCTATACCGCTCATCTCAAGGCTGTGGGCAATTTACTTAGAAAAGACAAGAATATGATGAGAATAAACAGTACATTCCATAATAGTACTTAAAACAGAATAAAATAAATGTATCTCCAAAAAGGGGTAGACATATCCTCAACCCAAATCTAGTGGGCAAACATCCTTAGTCAGCAAAATCACGTTGGAACAAGTTGTTTTCACCATCTTCCTAAACTTAGCAAAAAAGTGTCCAATTTAACCTCAAAAGGCAAACTGTTCCACAGAGATGGGGCTATAACAGAAAAGGTCTGCCTCTAATGTCATACGGGGGGAAAAAACAGAAGCATCCCCTCCCAAAAAAACTTTGTAGGCAATTCAGCTTGGTCTCTAAGATACCAGAAGCCAAGCCATTTAGAATTTTACAGGCGAATATTAGCACTCTGAACTGCTCTTGGAAATCCAGGCACCCAGTGCAAAGGGAAAACAGATATTATTAGATTATAGTGGTTTTAACCCATCAGGAAGATGGCAGCTGCATTCTGGACCAAGTGCAGTTTTTGGATACTCTTTAAAAGCAATTCCAAGTAAAATGTATTGCAATAATTTGAACTCACAATAAGGGCATGAATTAGTGTTGCAACAGTATAGAGGAATTTAGTTCTGGGTGTTGAGAAACAGGTGTGAGAAGCAAAACTCAGCTCTGGGAAACTAGAAAGTATGAGAAAGACACTCAGAACCGCTCCATCTTGACCTTGTTAGAAAGGGGAACTGAACTTTTGGGACAGGTTTTCAAGTTCCTATTAACATACCCTATAACAATAAAGTAGCATTCCTGGAATCCCTGAAGTGTCAGAGACTGACACAAGGATTTTCTGCTTCTGCTACAGCATCAATGAATGATGTCTAATTTTGTACGCACAAACAGCAACTCTGTCTTGCTGTGATTCGACTTAAGCCTGTTTAATTCCATTCCATAACCTCCAGGCACTGAGTATCGACCTCTACTCTTGGAATGGCAATATATTACTGATGGTACTTCACCCCAAATTGACAGATAATATCTACATGAACCTACTGGGAAGATTAAATAACAAGGAGGACAGAGCGGAGTCCCATATTGAAGCAACAACAAGGTTGACTGTTCCTTCCCCATGATTACCAAACTGAAACCACCCACTCAAGGAGTAGAACCACCAAAAACAGTGTCCCCAACTCTCAAAAACAGCCCAGAAGTATATTATGGTTGAAGTTATCAAACATTGTTTAAAGGCCTAATTTTATTATTAGGGGCACACACCGTCATCCAAGTCCTGATGCAAGTCCTCCACTGGAATTCAGTGCAGTCTAAGGTCCATAACTAAAAGGAATCCACATAACCTGCTTTATCTAATATTAACTGTGGCTGAAGTCCCACCACTTTCTCAAAAATCTTCCCTCCAAAAGGAATTTTGGGAGGAAATTCTCTAAGGTGGCTGAGCTCATGCTCCAGAAAACCCTATCTCCTTCCCTAAATTCCACAAGATCAAGGGATTCCCAGATTGCCCTGACCATCTCACTAGACTCTGTTCAGTTGGTGTTCAACCTCAGAAAATGTGAATGATTTTATCAGCAAAGAATCTAGCAAATAACTCAGAGCAGATTGCAGGAAAATCTTCCCACCTACTCCTTCCCAAATGTGTGCAGTTAACATTGAACACAGCTGCTGGACAAGAATCTGCAGACACATAAAGAACAGAGGATGGAGGCCATTTTTATCACTACTATATGCTCCTAAAATGTGAGCACATAAACATGTTTGATCACATTCACTAATTTCCTTCTAGGCATCTTTTCTGTTACTTCATCTTCTAGAGTTGCTAAGTAAACCAAAAAGCCCTCTGCAACTGGAGACTAGACATAGGGTCCTTGGGAGCAATCTCTCCAGCAACTTATCATCAACAAGCTCCAGAGCAGGGCAGGGTGATGGAAGAATTGCCTGCCAGATCACTGGAAAAATCCCCAAGTGTCTGCAGAAAACAAATAGCATTTATTAAATGTGTGGGATAGGTCTTCCACCCCAGCTGAAGTCCATGGTACTGAGTTGCACATATGGTTTTCTTAAAAGTATAATTATTTTTTTCATTTATACATTTTTATTAAAAAGCTAAAGCACTAATATGTTCCTACTATACAGACTTGAATTTTAGTAAAAAAAATTAAATCAGTAAATGTTTAAGAGATATGCAAATACCCATGTAAACTTCTAAACAGTTAGTTGATAAATATTACTGAAAAAAATAATAAAATGACCCCAAATTAAAATTAAGCATGTGAATTAGTGTTATTGCTTTGGAAATACAATACTAATATTTTTAATTGCTAATAATAAATTTGAACAGTTTATACTATGACTACAAAGCAAAGTTAGAGTATGAACCTCAAATCCAAAGCCAATCTGTTGGACTCATATTTTTCTGCTCCAACAGAAATCCATTTCACAAAAATGCAAACCAGTAACATTGAAAGACTTGTAACCTATTCTAGAACCTGATGTAGGTAGAAATTGTGTTTGACCCTAATATAAAACTGCTTCTTTGAATCTATAGTTCATTCATGATAACACTTCAAAGTCTTTCATTTCACACTTGTAGCACACAAAACTAATTTTAATCACTTCAGGTGGTCAAAAACACTTCATAGCAAAGTGAAGCTCCAGCTGTCCACCATTTTTATTTTCTATATATGGATCTGGGCCAAAATGGCGCCCAAAGGAATTAATAGGAAGGACAAGCAGATGGAGTATTTCACAATGAAGCACTTCTAGCCATCTAAAAAAAAGCAAGGTACTTCCCAAGTAGGGGGTGATGTTCTAGTTCTCATGAAGATAGAGGGAGGGTGGGGGGAAGCATATTCAAACTTGCAAGCTTTTATAATAAAGGTAGTATTAGCCTGCATGACTTTGGTTTCCTAGTCTGGTCTACCTTGAAAGACTGAGAGAAATAAAAACTCAAGCATCAATTCTGCAAACACTCAAAATGTAAGCAACAGCAAATTATATACATTTTGATTTATTTAAACATATCAGCTATATGATAAAGTGACTTTGGTAAATATCTTCTGACTTGAACTTACCATAAATACAGATTTGACTTCAAACCATCTTAAAATACCAGGTAGTTTATATGCTGTCACATAAATGGTTCTCTCAATCCACATATTCTGTAAATTTAAGAGAAAAGATTTGAAGTAAAATGCTCACAGACCGATAGACTTTAGCCTAACCCAAAATTTATACTGTCTTTATCACAAAAACCTAGTAGCAAGTGTACTGACACCACAGCATTTTTTTTTAAAATGCAACACCACCACCCAAAATTGGTGGAAGAACACTTTTGCATCCAGTTTAATTAATTTTCTATATGGTTTGTCATGAGCTCTTGTATTCATGTAGAAGATACAAGTGAATTATCTCTCCCCTCACTTCAACATGTACATATAAGCAGGCTATACTGCAAACAATTATGTTATCCTCTAGAAAAAGCTGTCCATAGAATACTAGTGCAGAGCTGTTACTTAGAAAAGGAATGAGAGAAAATCCCCAATTGGTGCAAATATCAGTTTCAGAAGATGAAGAGTTTAATTTCCCCTCTTTGCCTATTTTGACTTCCTTAATTATCTGTCTCTCCCATCCAGTTGATACAAGCTGCCTATTATATGCAAAGAAGTATTTAATGCCATGTGTAGTTTAGCCTCAATAAAGCATTTATAATCTTTGTCTGCCAATAATGTGATATATACGGAGAGCCTAACTCAGTGGAGGCACCTTAGTATTTGAGTAAAATAGTATTTTAAAGCATAAATTAAATTAAAAGGAAAAGCTGGTATTCATGAAAATCATCCATGTAGGAGTTAAATTTGCATGACTAGAATCTTTATATTAATGCAACCACTTTTTAATAACTAAAAACATTTTCAAGATTGTCATATTTTTGTTCTTGCACTTGATGACAGGAAATTCCACAACACAATGAACTAAATGTCATGTATTCATACAAACTGTAAATATTTATAGAGAGCATATATATTATGCTCTCTCTTATATATTATGAGAGCATATATAAAGGACATTAAGGAAAATCTGCATAAAATATTCAAATTACCGCAAATTCATTATCTGGATTTTTCTCTCCTTTTCGAATGGGTCGTGAATACTCAAATCGCTGAACCTCATTCACCCTATAGAAACTAGAAAGAGAGAAATACACAATTGTATTTATATTTTCATATGGCAACAAGATCACAATGAGGCTTCACATATTAAGCACTACAGGGAAGTGTTATTTTCATGATGATGTATATATGTATCTATATGTATATATGTATGTATGTATGTATGCGTGTGTGTGTATATATATATGTATGTATGTATGTATATGTATATATGTATCTATATGTATCCTAATAGCCTAAAATTAGAATTTTCAAACTTGCAATATCGCAACCCCTTAAAATGATAAATGAAGTTGTGTCAGTCCCCTTCTCGCCCCCAAAAAAACTTAGTGTCAGGGTTTGGCAAGGAATAAATATACTACTTATTTTTCATAATTAAATTTTAACCTATAAATCACAGGATTCTCAAGCTCTGCAGTTTCACAACTACCCACTATTGGAGGCTTGGGCAGGAAAAGTAAAAAGCAAAACCGAGTAAAATATCAAAGTTTTTCTCATAAAGCTATATTAAGAGTTTGTGATCAGTCCAAGGCCACTAATGAACTTGATGATTGAATGGAAATTCTGCATCAGGACTCTCAACTTAGTCCGTCACTGTCCTCAGTGTCCAGGAAAGAGGATGGCAGACTGAAAAATACTGTAGGTTCAAAACATATGCATGTTGTTCCATTATCTGGAAAACTGAGAACTAGCTTGCTTGTTTATCCACTAACAGGCTTTTACCAAGAGAATGAAAGTGAACTCCTATAAATTGGGTTCTAAAAGCATTCAGTTGTTGAGATTTCTGTAATCAAATCCTTTTCTCTTTTAATAAATCTGGTTAGAGAAGCTGCTTTGAGAGTGTTGTTTTTGGGTGTACTAGGCTGTCAAGGGCTTGATGCTATTGATGCTATCACTGTTCACAACTTATTTGGCAGCATCCATAACAAGCTGCAATGTTGTCGGAACATGCATGCTATAATCTTATTATGCAAATGACACAAACTGTGCCATGGCATCTGTTGCCTATATGTAATTTGCATCAACTTGGCGATGATGTTGTGACACATGACATCACTTGGCTCCTTTGCCTCCTTTGAGGATGCCCATGACCATATTCGTTTTTTCAAATAAATAACCATGCTTTTAAACGTAGTTTTCAGAATATGAAGATATGTTCTTTTCATGGTATATCAAGGCCTTAGATGTTATTGGCGTGATAGTTGTGCTCAGGAAACCTTGCATTCTGGTTACTAGTGGTATATAATACTTAGACCACAGTCATTTATTTTATGGGAAACTGTCTTCCAAAGCTCTTTGTAAATCCTCAGTAACTAACAGTGAAATTCTAATTCAAAGATGCAATGCCTGGAAGGAATTAGAAGGAGGCACAAGTCACTCTGAATTGCAAAAATCCCTTCCTTCTGTTAACCTCAAAAACAAACAAACAAAACAACAACATCAACAAAGCCTGTACTGAAAGTACGTAGCTGTGCTGTCTTGTAAATGCTGGTAGTAGGAGTTAAAAAGGGATAGAGAAGAAGTAGACCAAAGAAAATTTGAATTCTGTTTGAAGCTCGGAGTAAGACTGCCATGTCAATGTACAGGACAGGCGAAAGAGAAATTGCACACACAAAAACCAGGCACAAATGACTTTTTATCAATATTGAAGAATAAATGAAAGCAGAGAATGAGAGAGCAGCCATGAAATCAAAATTAATTTTTTCTTGAGATAAATTGAAATAAATAATCTCTTGCTGCACCCTTAAACTGTCTATTTCTGCTTGTGTTGATGAATATAGATGCAGCTTTTCAGGCCATTTAGCAGGTAATACATTTAACCAAGTGCAGTCTACTGAAGATATTCAGAGTAATTGCTCATTTTGAATGTCTGTACCTTAAAATTTGCTCTGATACAGGCTTGTGGAATTTTGATGGTAAATCAAGCTTTGGCTTTACTGTAAAGCACTGAATATCTGAATTACATGTTAAGAATGACAGTGATGTCTAGTTAAAGTTATGCAACTAGAAAATGTAATATATCACACACACACACACACACAAACATATAAACAGAATAAAGGTACAATTCCCTCAAGTTGCGCTTGACTCTTATGGTTTCTTGGACCATCATAAAGTAGGAGTCTGCTGCTGCTTTTTTCAATTTCCTAATCTAATCTATAGCTCTGGGATTTCTTTTTGGTCTCTCATTCTAGTACTATCCAGATCCAAACCTGTTTAGCTTTCTTCACGAACAACCAGGTTTGGCTAAGTCTGACTAGGGCTTATCATCTGAGCTTGGCCTATACACAGTACATATGTAAAAATAAGAGAATGTAGGAAAGGCAGCAACACTACAACTTGTTGAAGAAATTCTCATTACACCAACTAAGGCCATCAAAACTCTTAAAGGATACACTGCCCAGGAGAATTTTTAATATCTTCCCCAGGAGGAGACGTAGTCTTCATTTTTTCTGCATTAGGAAACTGGGTTAATAATCTTGCTTCAAAATCTTCACGACGTTCATATTCTCTTCCTCGATAAATAAAAACTTTGTTCTATAAACAGATATATAATATGTTTTATGTTTTTGACAGATTCCATTTAAATATACAAATGCACACAAATTCTAGTTGAGAATATTTAATTGTTTCTACATTGTGAAACTAAACATTTCTAGGAACCAGCAAAAAATAAAATTCTACACAAATCAATAGGTTTTTTTAAAGAAATCCTGCAACAATAACATACTTCCACATATTTATGCAACATAATTCTTTATTCTGATTCATACTTTTGAACTAAATAAGTACATTATAGCTTTCCACTTGTGGAGTGGAAAATTATTTGTGAAATGAGGTTCCCTTTACGATTAGAATCATTTCAGGCTGGCTAGTTAAATTCCCTTAAAAGTTCAAATAGTGTCTATAGATTAAATCCAGATTTACAGAAAAGACATACTGAAATCTACCAAACTTATCAGTCGTAGACTCAGTGAAAATAATGTTCCCATAGATTTCATTTGATCTATTCTAAGAATTATTTTCTCTGGATCAAACTCTATGGGCATTTCAATTACTGCTATATGATGATTGAAGTCTTTAGAACACTAAAATGGATATATATATATATATAAATAAAATCAGGGGAGCAAAAAAAGGGGGCTTATTATTAAACATTCATGTGACTACTAAGCCTTACTATTTTTTGCCCCTCACAACAAATGCAAGAGTACTATTGTCTCATCAACAAAGCTACCAGGTTTTGATTAATATTTTTGGCAACATAAATTCATTATATTATACTCTCTATGAAAACTTTATTTGTATTTCCATTTAGCACATATGCAATTTTTGGTATCATATTTGGTTTTTTTTAAAATAAAAACAATGTACTTGAACACATGAAAATTTGTTTCATTTATTAGAACAGCACTATGATTTTACATTCTATGCCTTACTCAGGTTCAAATATTTTGGGTAGCTTTGCTACCTCCCATGTGATTTCTTATGGTTTTCCACAGTGCTGCATTTAGCTATTCAAAATTATTAGCATTTATCTCTGTATTTGCGAAATATGAGACATTTTATAGTCATGCTTTTAGTGAAGCACAGGTGGACTTCATTATTCACTTGACTTTTCTTCCAGAGTTCAACCATGGGTAATAAAACATTGGTTAATGACTTACTGACCCTATGGAAATTGGGGGGTGGGAGGGTTAAGTTCCAGAGCACCAGAAAATGACCAAAAAAGTATCAAAATATTACCAAAAATACAAGAAAAAAACAGAAACAAGTATTGTATCCATTAATGTACCATGGGCACCCACTGTATCTCCCACTCTATTTCATTCTCAATAAAAAGTATTTATGAAAATTTGGAATACTGTCTTTTATTCTAAGAGAAGTGTATAGAATACAAAATATGTTTTGTTGGCCTGCAGCACAGTCAAAATACAGAAGAAAGAAATAAGGAAATGGTAGAATTCTTTCACAGTTGCAGTTAGTAGCACTCTATCCCCTTCCAGTCTCTCGCTTGCAGCACAATCAAAATAAGGATGCGGTAGAGCACTCATTTTTTCCTCTCTCAAAGTTGTGGACAGTGTTTTTTTCAGAATGACACAGTTAGGGTAGGTGCAGCTACATTTGTAAAAAAAAAGCTAGAGATAATGCTTTGTCTGGCCTTTCTTTACAGAGCTTGGAAAGTATGTTTAAGAGTTGCAAAGCAGCCCTCAGCTGCCTTTTGAATTCGATGCTGTGCTTTATCAGATGGTTGAGACACTTCCCAACTGCATGATCTCAGAGAGCTTCTTTGTTACAAAGGAGTTGGGAAGCAGCTCTTCATCTTTTTTCTCTCCTATGCAACTCTTAGAAGTTGTCTGGTTGATCATTTCTTTTTCTGTGAGCCCCTCCTAATGAGATTGGAAAAAGTCTTCCACCTCACCCAAGGACTGCAATCAATATTTTATTATAGTCACAGACCAGAATTACAAATAAAATGCATTAAAAATGAAATAAAACAAAACATGATAATATATTATAGTTAATGGTGGGATCATCAGTGGGCAATCAAAGTCTGCCTAATTTTACAGACAGTGTAAC